AAACGAAGCAGGGGTAAAAGAGCAATCCGATCTTTCATTAATTCAGTGCCACAAGATAGCCTGTACGGGAGGAACGTTCGACACCTTTCCAGCGACGTTTAATAATCAATTGTAATGTACAACAACCCGTTCATTCCCACCTAAATACGCGTCCGATTTCACCACATCCAGTGTCCCCACGTCACCTGAATCGTATCAATCTTTGATTAAACCTACGCGTTAAATTTGCCACGGTCGCCGGAACGAACGAAGACAGCCGGAAAGGGAACAGGTTAACGAGTGAACTCTGGGATGATCCATTCTCGGTGGCGTAACCGAGTTTCGGCCATTGGATATTTCGGTGGTTCCCGACCTAGTCACGGATTTCCGACCTGCGTGCCCCCGCGGAGGAGCACCCCACGGGGTTGCGCACACGGGTGCACAGGTGCGTGGGGTCGGTCGTCGGGCGAGGGCGGAGGCGCGGCCGCCCCCTCGCGTCCACGTAGTTGGTTCTGGCGGGAAACTCGGTCGGATAAGCCGGGCGGAGGAGGTACGAGGGAGCAAACATTAATGCCACCCCACAGACCGCAGATGTTGCGCCAATTACAAACCTCACCCTCCGGGGCCGCGATGCCACGGGAGGCACAAGGCATTCCGGCACCCCCGCCGCCCTCGGCAGTTCCGAAAACCTCCCCGCCCCCGAGTGCCTCCTCTCGGACGCGAGACATTTTCGAAAACACTTGCACTTTGGATTGAATTTAATATAAGACATAAGCGGTTCCGGTTCCTCTCGCCTCCCCGGGGCCGCCCTCGCTCCCTCTCTCTCCCTCCCGACGGCTGCAGTTCGAGGGGCTAGGGGGTGCGGAGTGGAGGCTTATATTATTCTTGGGTCTTCCTCGCCGGAGCATTATTAGTTCTGGCGTGTTAGCATACATGAAATATTGATGTTACATCCCTCTCCCTTGCGCCACCACACCCCGGCGGAGTCCCCGGGCCCGAGCCCTCTCCTTCGCTCTCGCCGCCCCTCCACCCTCCGTGGCTCTTCTCGCCCTACCCCTCGACTGTTCTCCCGACCTAAAGCAGCCTGATTGCCTTAAAGCCACTCTTAAAGCCGTAACACCCCTCGACGGCTCCCAGGGAACCTTCGCGCCCCGGTCGCGGTTAACCCCGGGCCCCGGAACTCCCTCGTTTCGGGGGTGGAGTCGCCGGTCGGTCCCTAAGAGGGGCGGCGGGTGGAACCTGCGAGTCCTTCGAGTCGACGAAGGGAGCGGACCAAGGTTACGAGTTTGGCGAAACGAAAAAACGAAACCGAGTTAGCATTGGTCTCGTTCGGTCGGCTGGCTTTCGAAAACTGCTCTTCCCCGAGTCGTTGATCCTGTGTTTTGTTCGACCTCTAATTAAATGGGGTTTGGAGTAATATCGAGAACTGTAACGTTTGTACCACCGAGGTCCTACTTTAAACCTTAAAAGTGACAGATATTTCCATTACTTTTATTTGTAGTCCTCAAGTAGGATTTAATTCGCATTAACTCTTTTGATCCTGCGGGTGACTATGGTGATTCATAACGTTGGTACATTTATTTACTTCATTTTTTCGAGTTTTTCACCTTTTGTCTATCGTGAACTCTAATTGTAACTGGTCCGTGCTGTAGCGCTGTGTTCGCGATTCGAGTATTCGTCCAGCGGAAGTATACTGGTGAAGGGCATATCCGCATCGAAAGGGTTAACACATTCGCGACCGGCAAACTTTTTTCCGTTTCAAATACTGAGTACCGGCGAAAATAATGGAATTCTGAAACTGGTTGCCGCAAACTTGTATCGTGTATCGTTATGGACGTGAATCACGTCAACGGCAATCAGGAATAGAATTTAAAATGACGTGAATTCACGTCAGTGGTCGCGAATGTGTTAAGTTGAGGGTGTAAGGTCGAAAGTGGGACCTGTGGAGTTAAACGTGACGAAAAAGAGGATTAGGTACGGCGAGTTCAAAGTAGGGCTAAAATTTTGACTTTTTCATCATGATCGCGGTTTTTCTTGTCTGCGTCAGGTTAGATTCAACCTTTAACCAGTTAGCTGCTCTTGACGAATATCCTCGTCGTGAAAACACACTTTTCAAAGAGGTCGCAACATCTAACTGGTTAAGAGGTGGAGGGCATTCATCCCTTCCAGACCACCTCCAAGGGTGCACGCTACACGTGTAAACACCAACAGCGAAAGGGTGCCTGGTCCAATTCTGAATTTGGGTTTTAGTAGCTCTCCAAACTTTACCTCTAACGGAACTTCGTTGGTCTCATGGTTTCCATAAATGCCCATCCACTGCGACCCCCGAGCTCGATTCCCAAAATCGCCAAAATTCGGAATTAAAATATTCCCTCGTAGAAATTAATGTCTAATCCGCCAAACCGAATTTAGTTGATATATTGTTCCACGTGGATGTATGAAAATTGCCAAGGTCTCTGAATTTCACTTTTTCAGCCCTACCTGGAGCACGCTGGAAGAGCTTCGTAGGGATTTGTTCATTTTAACGGGTCTCTACAGGAGATACAAGGGCCCGCCGCTCCTCCTCCCTTGGGTCGACGTCTGCGACGTCAGATGTTAGGGTACCAAGGCCTCCAGGGATGAAAACGTCGGAAGCAATTTGTCAAAACTTGGATTTCTTTTCTTTTATAATTCATGCTTTCTATAGAAAATGCCCTCGTGGAAGGGGACATGGACACGTGACGATATACTTTTGCAATTGGACGCACGAAGCTTTCGAATTTTTGATTTCTCGTCCTTTGAAGGATATTCTGGAAGAGCTTTGCCGAGTTTTGTTCACTTTTACAGGCTCCTCCGAGGGATATAAACCCTCTGTTTTTCTTCCCCTCGGTTAATGTCCGCGACATCAGATTTCGGGGTGGAAATCCCCAGGGGTTGGAAAGCATCAGCGGCAATTCGTCAAAAGACGAATTCCTTGTATTTGATAATTCAAGCATTATATTGAAAATATTTGGAGGCAGATTCGGCTCGTGGCAATACATTTTAGTGCCTGATATTATATTCGTATCCGCATGGTGCTCGGACGAGGGAAAATACTTCAAAGGGTTCATCAAATCCCAATCGAATCAAAATTAATCGGCGTCTATAGGCGCACGATAAATATATACGTTCGGTGGGATGGGTGTAGGTATATCCAATTTTTATGCAATTACTGATTTATGAAATGTACACATATTCGCCCTGCAAAATAATTCCTTTTGTCGAGGACGTCGGCCCGGAATTGGTTTAACGGTAATTGGTTCACCAAAGTCGGATTTCCCAAAATTTAGAATCAGCCAAATTGCCGCCGGGAGTGCGTCTTTGAAGATTCACTTCTTTCCAATTACCGGGAAAAGTAGTTCCGAGCTTGTCGACACTCATCCCAAGGCTCTTTATGTTTTCCCATGACGGAAACTAGCACTTTTCCTCCTGAATCTTCTTAACGTTTGCCCTGATTGCCTTACGTCTGCGGCAGACCGTCTTGACTCTAGATTTATTTTCCAAAGTAAGCAAAAACGTTGTTGCCTCGCATAACAATGAAATGATCACGATTACGAGTTCTAAAGTTATAATGGAAAGCACTAAAAAGGTAAGAAATTATCACGGCCTTTAAATTAATATTATTTTGCGACGCCTTCAAGAGCACAATAGAAGCGTACCGAAAAACTATTTGCAGTTTTGTTAAAAAAAAAAGGTAGATTATTTTGAAAAATGCATGTAAAAAATTTAGGGCAATTTAATATTCCACCGAAACCATTAATCCCGCCGCTGGCGTCGATCTATTCGATTCGTTTGCACCGTAATTCCCGGAATCCAATTGTTCATTACGGATTTGTAAGCTCATAACGTTTTCACGCCAAGCTCACAAATTCACAGGCAAACTGTACACTATTTCCAGGCAGCGTTAATAACAGCGACGGCAACGAAGTATTATTCACGGACGTAACGTCGAAGCGTAAGTCAGTGCAAATATTTTGCATCTAATTTGCGCACAGGCGCTCAACGATTCAGGCTAACCCGGCAAGAAATTAAGTCCGGATCAGTCAGCACTTTTGGCCAAGCCCACGACGCAGTCGTTCCTCCTGACATGGCTGTTTCAATTTTCTCTTAAATATCCGACACGCCTTTCTCCAGGATTTTCTGGTTTTTCGAAACGTTCGTAACCGCCACGAGGGTACCTTTTCTCCTATATCGTGCTTCGTCAGGTCCAGGAGCATCGAACGAAAGTTAGGACAAATCGGCAATAATAGCTAACAAATTAATTTGCACTCGTGAGAAGGAGTCACCGAGTGGGACTCTCGGGAACGAGAAGAAGCTAGGAAAAGAGGACGTGTCCAGGATACCCTTCCTCCGGAAAAATGCGTTTCTCCAGGATTTTCCAGTATCTCCAAACCCTCTTAATCGCCACGAGGGTACCTTTTCTCCTATATCGTGCTTCGTCAGGTCCAGGACCACCGAACAAAACTTAAGACAAATCGGCAATAATAGCTAACAAATTAATTTGTACTCGTTAGAAGGAGGAGTTACCGAGCGGAGCCCTCGGGAACGAGACGCCAGGAAAGAGGATGTATCCAGGATGCCTTTCATCCGAAAAAAATGCGTTTCTCCAGGATTTTCCGGTTTTTCGAAACCCTCGTAATCGTCACGAGGGTACCTTTTCTCCTATATCGTGCTTCATCAGGTCCAGGACCACCGAACAAAAGTTAGGACAAATCGGCAATAATAGCTAACAAATTAATTCGCACTCGCGAGAGGGAGGAGTCACCGAGCGGAGCCCTCGGGAACGAGAAGAAGCCAGGAAAAAGGACGTGTCCAGGATGCCCTTCCTCCGAAAAAATGCGTGCTCCTTCGAGAGGGACCTCCCCGGGCAGGCGATACGAATCGCGGGGCGCTTTACATTTAGCCATTATGAAGAGCCGCATTTATCCTCCAGGACCTTCTTCTCGTTATCCCTGGGCGTTCCGCGTGCTCCTTTCCCCGTTCTTATGGAACCTGAAACTCACCCGTCTTCATGCTCTTTTCGTTGTGGATCGTCAGAGAGCTGGGGTTCCCGTAAACGGAATTGTTCATCTCGGCTAGCGTCTCCCACTCTGAAATATCACGAGGATTACCTTAATGGCTTCGGCGGACGCAGCAGCTTCTACGGGGAGGGAAGCGTCGACGAGGGTTTAGGCGAGCGGAGACATTTAACGGAAGAAAAGGCGGAAACGCATTTCGAATGACGACGTGCCTCTAAAGCCGAGACGGCCTTCTCTTCGGGATCGACGAGGTAGATCCGAAAGATCCATCGCGATCCAGACCGTCCCGTCCTCGCTCTCGGGGACTCGTCTTTCGGTATGCACTTTTACGCCAGATAGATGTGCACTTAACAACAAAGTCCCGCGAGGTAGCTCGTAATGCTTCCTCTCGTACTCTATTTTGCAAAATTGTATGATTACGCCCGACATTACGATTCACTGTCTTTAGGGGAGGCTGAAATTATCCGCAACTCTGAATTATCCACTGCCTTTCTTTGCTATTCCCTTTTTGGGCTCTACCCTAAATTCTAATCTTTAGTTTATTTGACCTACATGCACAACGAGTGAAAAGAATCACTTTCTATGGGAAACGGAATCATTGGGAAGAAAATATGTTTACTTGTTATCGTTAAGAAAATTAATTGTGAGGTCGATTGAACGAAGCTAATACAAATTTGAAACGATCGTCAATTTTCTTTAACTTGGTTTCACTAAGCCTTTATTATTCGTTATCATTAGAGTTTCTAAATATAAATGTCTCGGAATGAAACGCTGATTCGCGTTAGAAATGAAAGACGTTGGAGGAATTAACAACGTCATTGTACTAAAATAGATTTTGATTGACAAAGTAAATCTGATGTTTTCTCTCAAAGCTCTGTCATTTTTCGATGAACTCGGCCTCGCATTAACTTAGATTCGCCATTAATACTTTCTTATATCAAGTATTATGTTGTTTAAATTAAATAGAACGTTTTATCAAAAAATTATATAATTTCTATTACTATTTTCATACTTGGTCAATTTTGTACATGAAATTGTTTTCACAGTCATTTGCTCTTGATACAAAATTGTCGTCATTCGACTTGTAACGCCGATGATTCCTACAAAATTAATGCTGCTGGAGCCAAGACATTTCTTTAGCAAGAAGCATGTAAATTGACAGAAGCAATTGATTTGGCCTGGAAAGTAAATTTTTTGCTCAAAGTATTGGAGAGCGTAAACGTTGCACATTTTTGTCACGAGAATCGTTGCCTATAAATTAGTTCGATGCTATTTGTCAAATATGTAAAATAGGGTTTCAGAGTTCAAAATACCCCGTTAAAAATGTTTGTAAGTTTAGAACATTTTGAGTATACAAAGTTGTACTAAAATTATAAATTCGGTGCGATGATTGAAATGAATTTTCAATATTTGTAAAATGAAGTTTCGAACTTTACGGCACTTTGAATAAATCTTTTAAATCAGTCTCTCAAATTACACAACCTGTGCACTGAATACTCCTACGAGTGCATTATCAATTTAGTATACCATGCCTAAATAAAACTTCTATACAGGTTTCATGAATTTATTACAGTCTTTTAAGAGCGCATAATGGAATTATTATGTACCTTAGAAACTAATTGCACTTTGAAACATTTCTCCCTTGGTACGAAAGATTCCTCGTTTGGTTAAATTTACCGCCACCAGTGTTTATACATTAATAACCACAAACGTCAATATTTGGAGATTGTGAATAATTTTCCGGCCGATTTATGGTATAGAACAGAAAATTCACATTGGCTAAAGCTCGGTAATATTATATGCGTCATGCAATTACCTTATTTTCTTCAACAAGTTGCAGTGCATTGAATGTAACAACGGCTTTACTCGAATTGTTGTTGCAATGCATATTTAGATATAAGGCCATTAACAACTCGACACGAGTAACAATAATAGTTCCATTCCCCCTCTCTTGCAAATTCATGGCCGATTATGTAAATGGTGGCTTTAGAATTAAAATGCACGGTGGTTGAGCGTCGAGGACACGAAGTGCAGAGGTCCATGACGACGAATACCCGTTCCAAAATCATGAATTATTTTTTCCGTCCTTCCAAAGATGTAGCTTGCGACAATGAAAGACCGAAAGGTCCAGGGAACATTCTTAAAAATTCCGGCTTTCCCGAGCTAAGTGCGGCGTTTCATTACTAACGACGCAAAGTAACTTGAGGAGACCCTGGCAGGAAGAGCCAATTAGACGAAATGCACCACGAGAATTTTTCTTTTTGCATTGCGTTATGGAGGAGAAATTTTCTTACAGAAACAAAGTAGTCAACGATCACGGAAACCCATATATTTAAGACAAAATAGATCCACGCACGAGGTAAACGTCCTACACATCCCGCGATGTCTCCTCAACCGAAATCTCTCAAAATATTGATAATTTTCACCATAAAATCTGCAAAACTCTCACCTTTTAAATTGCAAATCAGCATATCACAATCTCTACCCTCTCCATCTTGCCTGGGTCTCCCATCATCCCCGTCAGAACACGGGTATTGTCGCGTTAACCATAAAGGATTTTCTGTTTTAACTCGGATCATCTCTAGAGACAAACCCGAGAAGCCAATCGGTCCGGAAGGGAAGTTCAAGGGATTTACCCTCTTTAAAGGAAATAGACAGAGCGTCGTCTCCTTACCTTTCCTCGAGAGTTCGGTGGTGGCCGGACTGGGGGTCGTGCTCGGAGGACTGGACTCTGCAACAGAAGAAGTAACTTTTTATTTTTAATTAAAGTTTCCTCCGTCCCCTCCCCTGGCGCCAGGCACGTATGCGCAAAAGTACAACGACGGGGTCAGGGTTGTTATGGATCGCGCCACCTGTTACTAACTTCACCCTCGAACGTATTAGCCGACGGGCCGGCCGACCTCGGGATCATATTTTACCCGGTAGCTGTACCGCAGCCTCGGCCTCGCCGTCCGCGATGAAATATACTTGAATAATTATTGCCAATCGCGCCGTTCGTCCTCGGGACCCCCCAGGACTCCCCGGGACGCCCGGCTCGCCGATGCGGCTCGTCGACGCGAGTCCCGCGGGACCCGGCGTCCCGGAAGACCGACGCCAACGCGCCGCTCCGGAGACCTCTGCCCCGATAATATGGCTATTTACTGCCAAATTAGTACCAGGACATCGAAACTCTGCCGATTAAGATTCGCACTTTGATGCCGAACTGCCCTCTATCAACCTACACTGAGATAAAAATTAACCTGAACCAAAGAATATATTTTATTAATTCAAAGGATAATTATTTTACTCAAATAAATTCTAATAAACTCGATGCAACAATTCTTCGATACGATGATAATTTATTTGAGTTAAATAATTATTCTTTGATTTAACAAAATATTTCGTCGGCACTGTTCAAGGAAATATTTTTTTGGTTCAATGAATTTTTTTTTCTCGGGGTAAAAAATCAGCAAGAGCATAGTCTTACCGCTACGTTACATGCCGAGGGGGAATTCCCTTAGGAAATCATGGATTTTAACGCTTGAAGTCATGTGGAAATCAACTGAAAATCGTAAGCTGAAATCTCTAGATATCGTGGGAAATCACCGAAACACTGTCACAATTTTAAGGCCGAACGTCACTTGTTATCGAATCGCATTGTTGTTTATTGTATGAAATCAAAGGCAATCGGCTCTCAAAGAAGGAAATCGTTTTCGCTGATTTTCTAGTGAATAGCCCCTCGTTGCAGACAATATTTACCTAAACCAACATTTGGGTGAAATGATGCGAGAAATACATATGACGTATTTACAGTTGCACATATTAGTGACATTCGAAAAGTACCTGGCACGCGAAGGTGCGCGTTTTTGTGACATTTGTATTTTTTGTGACATTGGCACTTTTTCGTGACATTCAATTCCCCAAAGTGCTCCTCGTATCTACTTATAAACGATTGGGGAAAATGTAATTCGATGACAAAAAAAAAGAATCGGTGCGTTGAAAATTCTAATTGAGAAGTATTAATTATTGTTAATTATTCTTTCACGAAATGTCCTTACCCGTTCGGTACTGGCTGTTTCGGGCATAATTAATTCTATTTTGTTTTACATTTTGTTTACTTCGCTTTAAATGTTAGCAATTCATTAAGACAGCAGAGATGATTAAAAAACACCTATTTGTACAAAATATGTTAACGAGGATTATTCTTAATTATTGTTAATTATTTCTTCACGAAATATTCCTACACGTTCGGTATTGGTTGTTTTGGGAATAACGATACTAATACTCACGAATGAATGTAAATAGTAGTTAACTAGAAAATTAACTGAGATAGCAATGCACTAACGATAACGAAAACGTTTCCGCAAATTGTTTCAACATTAAGATATAAAAATAATGACAATTAGTAATTAGCTGTCAGAAAGGGATTGGGATGGGATACCAATAATAGGCGGCAATTTCAATGTCAACTTTATCATGCCAGAAGCAAAGCCGCTGATTGACTTCTTAGATAATGAATTAAAATTAAGTAAAGCTAATGAAAACGTTCGATCAAATTAGGTTAATACTAAAACATAAAGATGAATGTAAATAGGGAATAACAGTAAAAAAAAGCGTTCCAATTTCCGAAAAGGACCTCTTTTGCGACATGCAAACATGCACGTGCAATTGTGTCATAAAATGTTTCACGTTAATAAATTCTAAATTAGCGTAGGTAGTAATTGAATTTCTAAGATTCTAATTAGGATTGATAAGCGCGATACTCATGTTGAAATAAAATTGTTCCGGTAATTCGGAGCTCGCGATATAATCAAGACCCCTAGTAGCACAAAATATTTGTCCTATATTTCCTATATGTTTAACGAATATCGTACATTGTATAAATATTCAGCAGACATTTGAAATATTTCCAAAACGTTTACTTCAGAATATTATCCCTATAATATTTATATAATATTNAATTTTCAATAAATATTTCACATATCTTCGAATGAAATCTTCAAGAAATCTTGAAAAATCTATCGCTTGAGATATTTAGCAAAGATTACAAAGAAATATTTTGAAATTATTCTATGCTACTAGGGACACGTGGTTGGAAAAGTTTCGAGAGAACACGAGGTGTTTCGAATTTTATTACCAAGTGTACGTAAGTTTGAATAATCGGATAAGGGGTGACTGTTCGAAGAAGGTGCATGTATAATATCGAGAGGGGTAACCTTGCGATTTGTTATGCGAGAGTCGAGGGTAGTCAAAAGTTGCCTCACGTATTATTTAAATGTGCCCAATCAGTCTGTGCAAACGGACCGTGGCCTAGCCCAATCGAGTCCACGGAGCAACTGAACCGAATTACGAAATCTTGTCCAAATGCCTCGTCCTAACGAGAATGTTCATTTTATGCAAGGAAAAAAAAATTGTTAACTCTTTTCCGGTAATTACTAGCTGTCAAGCAGGAAACGGCACAAGTAGCTTTCACTCTATGGGTTCTTCTGGAAAATTCTGACCCCACGTTTCCTTGTCACGTTAGTAAGGAGTAATACAAAGGATTCTTCTGGGAAAATTGTATCTCGATCGTGCAATATGGCAGTGTTTAAAATATGACTCAGATATGGGACGTGTGGAGTACATGTAATCACAGCCGACTTGTGTTACCATTTTTGTCGATTTGATTTATTACTATTTGTAAGATGTGAAATAATAACAGTCTGGATGGTTCATAAATCTTCTATGATTATCGTGTATTTCTTAGCGACTTTGCGACGGCCATTTATGGAAATTTCTCTAGTGTTCTCATTGGCTAACATGGCAACGAAATACAAGGTTACTTTTACATGGAAGTGCGAGCTCATTATGCCATTTCGTGCCGTCGAGGAAATTGTGTTATCTAAAAGAGAATCCCCGATTTAAGGTGAAATTAAACACGTCGAGGAACTCGATAGACGTCGGTAAAACAGGTTTTTCTAAATACCTACGTCGCCGACGTTCGTTTTTATATTGACAGCTGTGTCGAATTATATTGAGAATTGTACTAAATGGCATACTCCATCTACTGTTTTCGTACAATAATTGTAAAGAAATCTAAGTAAAACTCCAATAATCCCCTGCATGCATGGTTTCTGAGGCCCTAATTGACTTCAGAGGGACCCCTTGCACCATCTGTAATTTCCGTGTCAACTAAGTTTTCATTCCGAGACTCATATTACCATCGTTTTAGCATAGCAGCACATAAGACATTATTTTTGTCTTTATCCCGTTCAAATGAGAGTTTCTCGATTACCAGAGAGGTCTAAATTGTCGTACAATTGTCCTGACACGTTCGTCTCTCATATTAGAACCTTCAATAATTGAAGATCGATCGAAATACAAGAGCTCGACGCCGTTTTGGTTCTGGTCTGGGCTAAGTTCCAAAATTTTTTCCAGAATTACAAATTTTGAAAAGTGTCAGGATAATTCCTAGGTGCTCACGAGTCATGTGTCAATGTTTCGGACAGTTCTATCTCATACCCTTAAAAAAAAAAGTGTATATGAGTCGACTGATTTGAGGGAGTTATCACTTCACCTTAAGGCAGGATTACTCGCGAAAGCAATCCTTCGTATCGTTTGCGAACACTCTTTTGCAGTCAGGGCAGTCTTAATAAATCGTACATTTAATACTTTTCCGTCTCCCCCCTAGCCATGTAATTTTGAACAACGCAGAAATCCCCGCGGTTCTCGCCATAACTCAGGGTGCCGGACGTTTCCCCATCTATTCTTCATACGTGTTCCCGTAGCTTAGAGAATTCAGGGCCGGCACGATGATTTCCCAGAGAAGGGAAGTCCGAGCTCGCGCGCTCCCCTAACCGGAGGATTAATCGCGGGCGAAACTGCAGCCGGAAAATATTCCTCGACATTTTTCCGGAGGTCCAGAAATCGCGAAACCCCACGGTCCATTACCGCCGATTTCAGGCGGACTTTCTTCTCAAAGAGTCTCGACGGATCGCGAGGGGGGCGAAAGAGGGGTTCCTCTCGGGTCGGCAACTGAAATCATCGCGCCCCGATTACCCGGGGAAAAGGAAACGCGCAAATTGGCCACGTCTGCGAGAGGGAGGCCGCCCCGTCCGGAAGGGGGTGGAGGTCTCGCGGTAATCGGGGCGCTTCCGACATTTCCACGGTGGCGATTACTCGAAATTATTCGATCGGAGGGGATGGAGAGCCGCGGCCGCGCCAAGTAGGCCGCACTGAAATTCATTTATCACTTTTGCAAGTCGCCGATGGGAGGAAGGTATTAGAGTCGAGTGCAGAAGAGTTGCCATTTTGTTCGGCGGCTGAGTGGCAGCCCGGCCAGGGGATGAAAGCGCGACGAAGAGGGAGAAAGAGAGAGAGGAAGGTCGCTTCCTAAGGGGGCGAAAGCAGGAGACAGAGGGACCCCATGGAAGAGTGGGGGAGTCAGACGGAGACTTTTCACTTTTGATTTATCGCGCCAACTTTTATTTCTCCCGGAGATATTAAAACCCGTTGTCCCTCCCATTTAACTTCGGCCTGATTGATGATTGGCTCCGCTACAGGACCTTCCGACAGGTCCAGTCGTTCGCCCCGCAATTCTATTAATAAACCCAAAACCCGCTAATGTCCTGTCTGCCGTCCTGCTCTTGAACGAGTCCTTCTAAAACCGACCGCGATCGAAACCTTCGCCGCATTCCTCCGGGACTTTATTATGTCTCCTGAAGGATGTGCATTGTGATGCACGTTCAGCTCCGCGAATCTATTTTCGAGGAG